TTCGCAAGGATGGTCTCGATCTCCTGACCTCGTGATCCACCTGCCTCGGCCTCCCAAAGTGCTGGGATTACAGGCGTGAGCCACCGCACCTGGCCTGATTATGTTTTAATTCTTAAGTTGAGTGGTGGGCTCACCGATGGTCTATACGTAAAGTCTAACTCCCACAGACTTTACATATAATCTTTTGTATGTTATCATGTATTACATAAGTAAAATGAAAGTAACAGCATTTGGGCATGCCAAAGGAAGTAGCTGCTCCCTTCTTCTGCGCACTCCTCCTCACCTCAGCTTCCTCCCTCTTTGAGATCTAGTAAATGGTCCTACAGAAGCAGCAAAGGGGAGTGTCTGAGCATAAGCAGGGAAAGGTAGATGGGAGTCAAGCTGTGATAGGTCTTGTCTACCATGCCTCAAGAAGTTTAGACTGTATCCTGAAACCAATGGCAAACCATTGGAGAATTTTTAGAAGTCTAGCCAACTTGGGAAGCAAGCAGCACACTACAGCAGAGAGAATTCAGGATCTGGTTCGGAAGTTCAACTTTCAAGCCCCAGCTCACCCCTTCCAGTCTCTAAGAAATGAGTTTTCTCATTGATTTCCATAGACTTTTTGCAATAAGAATGGAAAGCTATATACATTTAGTTAAGTAGAAAACAGAAGAAGGAAGGGCTGGGAACAGTGGCTCACATCTGTAATCCCAACACTTTGGGAGGCTGAGGTGGGTGGATCACTTGAGGTCAGGAGTTCGAGACCAGTCTGACCAACATGGTGAAACCATATCTGTACTAAAAATACAAAAATTATCTGGGTATGGTGGTGCATGCCTGTAATCCCAGTTACTTGGGAGGCTGAGGCACGAGAATCACTTGAACCCAGGAGGCGGAAGTTGCACTGAGCTGAGATCATGTCACTGCGCTCCAGCCTGGGCAACAGAGCAATACTCTATCTCCAAAAAAAAAAAAACAGAAGGCAAAAACTGGAAAGCAAGATTCCTCTTTCATACACTATAAGAATTAATGGATAGACTGCCACAATCCCACATGCTTATTACATACATAAGCCATTCCCAACACTTTTCTTAGGGCTTAAGAAACATACAAGCAGAGGACTTAGCCCCTGACTTCAAGAAGCTGACAATCAGGCCAGGGGCGGTGGCTCACGCCTGTAATCCCAGCACTTTGGGAGGCCATGGTGGGTGGATCACTTGAGGTCAGGAGTTCAAGACCAGCCTGGCCAACATGGTAAAACCTCGTCTCTACTAAAAATACAGAAATTAGCTAGGCACGGTGGCACGCGCCTGTAATTCCAGCTACTTGGGAGGCTAAGGCAGGAGAATCACTTGAACTCAAGAGGCAGAGGTTGCAATGAACCGAGATCATGCCACTACACTCCAGCCTGGGTGATAGCGAGATTCCATCTCAAAAAAGCAAAAAAAGCTGACAATCTCATGAGAGAGATAGGCTAAAAACTTTTTTTTTTTTTTTGAGACAGCGTCTCACTGTGTCGCCCAGGCTGGAGTGCAATGGCGTGATCTTGGCTCACCGCAACCTCCGCCTCTTAGGTTCAAGTGATTCTCCTGCCTCAGCCTTCTGCGTAGCGAGGATTACAGGTGTGTGCCACCACACCTGGCTAATTTTTGTATTTTTAGTACAGACGGGGATTCACCATGTTGGCCAGACTGGTCTTGAACTCCTGACCTCAGGTGATCTGCCGATCTTGGCCTCCCAAAGTGCTGAGATTCCAGGCATTAGCCACCACGCCCAGCTGAGATAGGCTAAAAACTTTTTTTTTTTTTTTTTTTTTTT